ACCTAACCTAACCTAACCTAACCTAACCTAACCTAACCTAACCTAACCTAACCTAACCTAACCTAACCTAACCTAACCTAACCTAACCTAACCTAACCTAACCTAACCTAACCTCGTACCGGGACGGCTGGGACCACTTCTGCGCCTGCCATCTATCGGGCAGTGTTTGAAACTACAGCGGGCGCCGGCCGGCCGGGCCGCGCGGCGCCGTTACCGGGCTATGGAGGCGAATGAAGTGGTGTAAAACCAGACGAATTTTACGCTTGTAAAGCAAAAAACGAAAAATGTACACTCACCACAGTGTTCAGCAAAGTACTGGGAACAATATGGATATAATTTAAAGCTAGTACGATGCGAACTGTTGGTTCCCTAGAGCAGTATTTACATACTTGTAGGAGATAGGACTTTAACATTACGGGAGATTCTAAACTGCGCTCGCAAAGTACTTGATTGTAAATATTTTCATTTAGAGGCAAAAATCTAAAAATGTAGAGTCAGAGCGTTGTTCCTAATGCTTCTAGGTACACAATGAGCATAAATTTAGCTCGAAATGTCATCACACATTGGTTCCCAGTCCAGTTTAAAACGACACTTTGTGCCGCAGAGCCTATCTCTTCCAATGGATGGCGGCTGGGTGGCGGTTGTAGTGGTGGACAAGACAATTCTTGAGTGAAATGAAATCAGTTGCTTTCAAAGAAGAATTTTGAAGAACTTGTAATAATTGACAAATGATCGTTAATTACAGTGTATAATATCAAGTTCATTGCAAATGAAAATATTTTAAACAATGCTAGTGAACCCCAGTACCGCCGCGCGAGAAAGCAAGTACTCGACGCACGGTCTGCCCGCCACTTCTGAAAATGGTCCGCGGCCGGCCGGCCGCGACCCGACACGTTGTTTAGGCCGATACCGTGCCTTGCAGTGCGGTATCCCCCGTTGCTCTGAGACGCTCTACGCGTGAACGTCGGCCCCCTGACCGATATGTAGCCGTAATGTAAGACACCTGATCGCAACACTGCCCAGCCGCAGTTGCCTTTAGCGCGCTTTATCTTCTGCTTTGACACGCCAGCAGATCCTAGATGGACGCGATCTGAACACGTCGAGCGACTAGCGCGTGTCGTAAGTGGCGGAAAGTACGGCAGTGGGTCTTGTCTTTCCCTTACCGGCTGATGTGTGTCCTGTCTCGTGCCCCGATGACCCGAGCTGACTTTTTCTGTCGTTTGTACATATGGCGTCACTCTTAGTGAGGCGTTTGTTTTATTCTGGTTCCCAGGGGACGTGCGCTGGAGCCGGTGCGCCTCAGACGGCTGGCGCCTCTTTGTAAGCGGGGAGGAGTGTAGGAGGGTTCCTCCTGTGCCGCCGCCTATTGCTCGGGCGGCTATATGCTGACAATGAACTGCGCTCCGAGACTGTGTCGGAAGTGGGACTCCGCCGCCGCAAGCGCCCGCGGCCGCAGGTCACGCGCCGTAGGCTCCCAGTAAACATGCCGACGTCGGCCCGACGTCGGCCGACGTCGGGGTGACGTCGGCAACTCGGGATCGGCATGCCGACGTCGGCCCGACGTCGGTCCAACCTCGGCACGACGTTGGCTGGATGTCGGATATGCCCGCATGTACCGACGTCCAGCCGAGGTCCAGCCGACGTCGGGCCCACGTCGGACCGAGATCAATTGCCGAGGTCCAGCCGACGTCGGGGCGACGTCGGACCGACATCGGCCGCTGTTTTGACCGTTAAAATAATATAAAATACATGTTTCATGTTTCATAAGGAGCTTCTGTATTCAAAATATCCTCAGGAAACTCAAATCTTCCTCCACGCCGCAACTCCCTGATCCGGACTGGACGGGAAACTTTATCCCATTTGGGATTACCCGTAAGCCGAGCTCGCCCGTAGCCGGGTGTGGTGAGTGCTTGGGGGCTGCTCGGCCTATCCTTTGGTCAGGCTCAGCCCCGGCAACTCACCAGGGCCGGGCCCAGTTCATATAGAAAGGCCAGTCGGCAAGTGTCACTTTGCCAAAGTGCCACTTATCAAAGGGACACTTTGGGAAACGTTGATGCAGGTGTGTAAGAGTGGCTATATGAACCCATTGTGGGGTCGCCCTTTCCGATAAGTGTCACGTAACAGCAATGGGACCAGGGACTCTATATGAACTGGACCCAGGGTGCTCGCCAAGAAGACCGATGTCTCCATCCTATCATCCTTCCGGCTCTGAAATGGTCTTGTCAGACCGAAAGGGCATAACACAACAAATCAAACTAAACTCGCTATCTGGCTGCGTGGTGTAGTGGTTAGCGCACTAACCTCGCGTTCAAATGACACAGGGTTCGAATCCCATCGCCGGGTGATGCTTTTGGCGCGTTGTCCCAGTAAACATGCCGACGTCGGCGACTGGGGGGGCTCGAATCCCGCCGCCGGTTGATATTTTTGGCGCGTTGTTCCAATAAACATGCCGACGTCGGCCCCGTCGGTCCAACGACAAACGATCTCGTCAACCTCGGCAAACGACCTCGGCCCGACGTCGGCTCGACGTCGGCTGGACTTCGGCTGGACGTCGGAACATGCGGGCATATCCGACGTACAGCCGATGTCGGGCCGAGGTTGAACCGACGCTGGGCCGACGTCGGGCCGAGCCTCGGCCCGACGTAGGGCCGACGTCGGCATGTTTACTGGGCTATATGCCGAGCTTAGCGGCGACGGCTGGTGTGCGGAGTGATGGCGGCTGCTGATTGGCTGGCGCTGCGACGCCAGGGCAGCCACCGATTGGTTTCCCCTCGGGAACCTTCTGTGCCAAAGGTAGTCTCAAGGTCATGTTGGATACGTGGGGCGTTGAGACTGGAGCTGGGGGACTTGAACTGGAACTTGGACTTGAATTTGGACTTGGACTTTGGTTTTGGAACTGGTCATAGCGTTATCTTATATCATGCCTGATATTTAACTCACGGCCATGTCTACACGCTGCAAGACAAATACACATAGAAAACGGCTCGGGCATTTGGAGAAGAGCGGCTACTCTGAGGCGAGGGAAGAACACGGAGATTCACACGAACGACCTGACTAGGTCGCATCGGCCACAGCCAACTGAGGCTCTGTCGGCCGTCGTACGGTTCACGGTTCACGGGATAGATTGACACAGACCGTTCGTTTAGCACAGCGCCACCTACGACCTTATAAGTTTGCACAAGACTATTATCCATCACATGTAGGAACGATCATAACCACTTGACTAAAAAAAATCAGGTTCACTTGGTTCCTGCAAGCCTGTTAACTCACTACCCAAGGGGAGGGGGGCACTGCAAAAGGGGCGTGGAAATCGCCACATTTGTCTCAAGATGTTAAATGCATAATAATTGGCACCAAAATATCGTCGCACTGGTACGCAGGGTCACCAAAGAAAATGCCAACGTTATTCATCCGTCATATATCAAAGGAAATTGGCAATATCTAGCACAACAAAACACAATTCAACACCTAACGCGGCCGGCCGATTCCCCGACACCTCCATGGCGACCGCTCAAGTCCAAATGGCCAATCAGGGGGCTTGCTTGTCATTTCTTGGTGGGATTAAAAAACATGTGGCAGGTTCCTGGTCTGCGCAATATGGCCGCCACAGTTAGACACTATGGGAGTTGTAGCCAAGTTGTAGCGGTAGTGCTCCCCTTGGCTTTGATTGACTGGATTGCGGAAGTTACACAAAAAGTAGGGAAGAACTGTGTAAACCGCCCAGGGTAGGTAGAACACCCTGTGCACTTATTTATGACACGATTGTTACCTTCCTTTTAAAAGCATTACAGGTGAAAAATGTGCTGTAGAAGCAAACTGCTGATGAAGTTTGATGGGCACCATTATTGTTATCATTGGGCTGTGTTATAGTCAAAAACATGTTTTTACGAGATTTCTTCAATAAATATCTGTCATAAAACGACATTAATTCACTGTTTAGCTGTCACTTTGATCTGAGATGCTTTGGGAAGCAAGACTAGTTCATTGTCTACCAAAAGCAGTGTTCAGTTGGGCAAACTAGACTTTTGGAATCAAAATATGGAGGCATCAATAATTTGATTCTGGTGGGAGGAGCCATGACCAAATATGGGCATGGAATCAATTTTTTGATTCAGTTGGGTACACTTTTGACTTCAAATGTATCGTTACGGTTGAAAAAAGGCCCATGACGGTGAGATTTTTCTTTAAAAAGGTAGAAAAATGTGGTAGGTTTGCAAAAAGTGTTACCTCAAAACTAAGAAATTGTCCCTTTGGCCTTGTGAATGGGAAAAAGACAGAGGCACCGTCCATCACGTAAAAGCTGTTTTGAAGAAATCACACTGTATGTTATTTTTGTATCATGAATCACATACTAAACAATCAGTATTTGTGTAAAATGGCAAAATGAAATTTTCAAACCTCTTATTATCATTGTTGTAGTGCTTTTACATTTATTATATGGTTTTTACCTGTTGCTTCAGTTTTTGCATTCTTGACATTTCAAAATTGTGAATTGTTATCAAATGTAGTGAAGGTAAAGTGCAACAATGCTATAGGTATCTGTTGTGGTGCTGAGGATACCACTAAATGAGAATAATAGCAAGATAAATGCTGTATTCTTGCAAGTCATTGTTGCCTATCTGTTAACATTACCTGTGAATCAAAATAATGATTAGCCAGCTGACGGGGAATCAATATTATGATTATCTGTTTAAAGTGAATCAATTCCTTGATTTCCTTTCACTACCTATAGAATTCAAATTGTTGTGATAGGAGCAATATTATTTTGCTTAGGAGATACTTCCAGCATTTCTGTTCAAGATCAGGCATGCTCCTTCTTGAAACACTCTTATTTTTAAGTGTTTGGTAAGTTTGAAATGGTCTGCATTTATGCCCAAATATGGTCATAAGGAATCAATCTTTTGATGCCTCCATATTTTGATTCCAAAGGTCTAGTTTGCCCAACTGTGTTGGTGTGAATTGACTGTTCCTTGTTTGCTGATAATGTACCTATCAGATGTGTTGCCACACAGATGCATTGTTTAATTTGCAAAACGCCCCGACACCTGGTTTGTAAAATGCCCATACCATTTTTACATGTAAAAATGTTTTACATTCTTGCTGCTCTCGGGTTTATGGGCCACCCTGTATGAGAGTCGTACATAAGCGGCGATCCATGTGACAGGGTCACACACTGCAAGGTGATGGGCACGCCCGGACATTGCCTTGTACCGCAGTCAGGTTTCAACTGTCATGCAGTCGGGCTTCAACAGTCATGCCATGCAAAGCGTAACAAGGGGTACTGTGCCTCACTGGCCAGTATGGTTGTCGGACGTTCTGTGTCGTGTCGCTGACTGTACAAGCCGTGCTGTGTCGCCTTATGTACTCGCCCTTAAGTGGCCCCACCGGTGAGCCCCGCTCGCCGTCGGACTCTATCCGAATGGGGCACACGGCTGACCGATCCTCGGCCGCCATGGTGGAGGCGAGCTGGAGCACACGTGGAGAAGGTATAGGGGAGAGTGGGGCTGTTTGTTACAGGGGTAAGTTGTTACAAAGCAAATATCTTTGAAAATGCTCTTGATATCGTGCCAATAGGGGAGAGTGGGGCTATGTGACATGCGTTACACTTTTTGGTTTTCTGCACTTAGCGGCCAACCTATTCAATGAACTAACTTCAATGATATTTGCTTTGTAACAACTTACCCCTGTAATAAATAGCCCCACTCTCCCCTATTTCTTGCTCTGTGTGCGCCTTTCTGCTGATCGCCGCTGTGTAGCAAAACGTGCCATTGGGATTTAAGATGAACATATAAAGCTGCCAATGAGTACTCACAATGGAGCTTTGTAGATTGTGCTGGGACGTCTTTGAAATGTCAAAGAGCTGGAGGCTGAGAGGGATTGGGACTAGACAATCGCTCTAAGCTTTTTTAGGTTCTGCAGTGTGCAGAAGAGCAGCTTTTTTGGCTGAGAGCTACCCTCAACTCACTGGCACACCATGGTTATCAGCATGGTGGCACACCGTAGTGCAGGGTGGGAGTCATAGCAGACGATTAAGAGTTGTTCATATTGCCTGTTTAGTGGACAAGACAAGCTGCTAGCCCGCTTTTGGTCGTCAATGAAGGCCAATGACTTGTCATCATGACAACTTGGGCTGGCCTTGCTTGCCAGCCAGAAGAGGGTTTTTCTCTCCTTTACCAGTGTCCTTTCGGCTAACTGATGTGCTCTCTGCCCGCAGGAGCCGACCGGCCCGCCGTGCACGAGGCCGACCTTCTGAGGAGCGAGTTTGGCGTACCGGACGTACTCGCCAACAACTGGGTGCCCCGAGGGACGGCCGTGCCCGGTGAGCCGGCGCTCGGCGCTCGTCTCGGGCTGGGAGTGGTCCCATTGCCGTCAGCGGCGGGGCGCTGGGTGTCCCGCAAGTAGTTCGGGTCGCCAGAGAGAGACACAGGTTCAAGAGAGAGTGTCAGGTTCAATGATCGAGCGGTCCGTTAGATTCGTGAACATCTCTCGTGAGGTGACTGGGTGTCGCTGGTAAGAGAAATGCTTGAATTGAGATAATGTACTTTCATGGAGCAGTGCCGATAGTTGAAAGGCAAGCAAAAGTCGTGCACGGAACCACGAACTTTTTGAGTACGGTATGCTGTGCTGCGTCACCAGTTACAGCTAATTGATTCCAAGTTTTATTTTGTCCACTCCGTGTAGGTAACAAATAGCGTCGACTCCTTCCGAATTCCTGTTTTGTGCGCAAACATTGGGGACATCCACCTGATAGGTTTTTGTCTGCAGGTCCTATCTGTGAGATACCTAGATGTGACTCTCATAATTCATTCCTCAGCATTGTTATAGATCATTATGATGTGATTAATAGGTATGTCTTTAAGGAAATTTTGAATGCACATAACAGCCAGTTTAGTGTGCGTCCTTATATACCGTCCGTCTTTTCCGCCAGTTTTAGGATTGGAGTCTATTCCGACTCTGGAAAGTCCTGCTCACACCGGCCAGCCTCTGGTGGTCAGTGATCCAGCCCGGCCAGAACCGCCGAGAGCCGCGCACCCGACGCCGCCGTGCCCACAGTGACCATGCAGCAGCCCTCTGCGCCGCCGCCGCCCTACTATGGCGGAGCCGCAGACGACTTCCACGAGCCGCTGACGGGCAGTGCGTTCGACTTCAACGAACAAACTGTTCGCAAGGGCTTCATCAGGTACGGTGCAGCCCGCAGACACAGAGTGTTAGACGGGGACAGGGAGGCGATTTACGGGAAGAGGGGCTCAGCTCAGTGTGGATATGAGCGAGCACTATTGGGCCCTTTACGCTCCAAAGTGCGCCTTTAGGCACCTGGTAGGCGGGCTCCCCAATCAAATCAGTTGAGGTCGACTCAAGCCTTGTGCGCACGCGCGTCGCCAGTCACGATAGGGGTCTAAAATTGAACGTGCACACGCACACACGCCACTTCTGGGATTGACCCTGCATCAATGCATCTATTACGCACGCCCTCTCATTACTAAAATGGTGTTAAAATGGTTGTAGCCAGTGATTTGACCAACTGATAAGGTGAAAATATGGCAGGGGAGGCCGCGCGGGATACCGTTTACCTCAAAACACTGTGGTGTCAGACTGAGCTCAGATTCTGGAATGATGATCAGATAAAGTTAATTGTGTAGAATGATTTTAATTTTCTATTATTTGAACCTTATTTCGTTTACCATGCCTGGTATCTGGGCTGCTGGTTGTGGTCATCCTGTGGCTATGCCGGGCTGCGGCACCGGTCCGTCGGTGACGGTCTGACCTTGTGACCGCGGCGCGCAGGAAGGTCTACTCGATCCTGATGGCGCAGCTGGCTGTCACTGCCGGCATCATCGCCATCTTCTTCGCCGAAAGTGTGCGCGAGTACGCCGTGCGCAACCAGTGGATCTTCTGGGTGGCGTTTGCGGGCACGTTCGCCTGCATCCTCACACTGGCCTGCTGCGAGGACATGCGCCGCAAGACGCCCCACAACTTCATCTTCCTGGGTGTTTTCACCGTCTGTGAGGGCGTCCTGCTCGGCTGCGCGTGCGCCTCTTTCAAGGCTTCCGAGGTGAGCTCTAGAGTGCAGGTGTAATCTGCCGTTTTTAGTGTGGAACACTTGTGTGAGTGCCTTGCGTGAACTTGTTACAGGGTGGAATTCGTGCGCTGCACGAACAGTTGTTGGCAACTTGTTGCCCAATCATTGTCTCTGGCTTTTTGAAACATTTGCCGATTATTTCGGCGGACTTTTTCCGGCAATTCCCTTCACCGAATCGATGAATTATTCGAGCTTAAATCAGGCACGTACCCAGGATTTCGCCCAGGAGGGGGCCACCTGCTTTCGAAGGGGCCCCCACAGTGTATAGGGCCCCCCAGGTTCCCCGGGGGGCCCCGGGAGTCATGAAGATTGAAGAATCTTTCGATGGTGGGGGGGAGGGGTGGCATAGTGGGTCCGGTCTCTCCTGCAGACGTAGGTGATGAAACGCCACGTGTGTGGGAAAACGCAATTCAGTTCTTTACAACCTAATGTAGCATTTGGTTGTGATTTCTCGCGTTCAACTTCATCAAAGTCAATTAAAACGGTCTCTGTAACGGTCTAAGCCTTGAGAAAATGTGGAAAATTGGAAAGTAAAAATATGTTTGCTTTGAGGAGTGTGCATGAAACGCACGGCATTTTATGAGCGAGCGCCTCAATTACTGAACATCCTCCAATTCCGGATATGTAGGTATATAATATAATAGTGGGGAATAAATGTCTCGTTATCGGAATTCCACTATCTGGCAACTAGCCCTATGTAAACGCGGTTATTATATGTTTCACTAGGAAACGAGCGCAATTGTACTTTTAGCCAGAAAATAAATGCTTGGGTAATTCTGGGACACTCTGTATTAATTGGAGGAATAGGACTTAGGAGGAAATGCAATTGCAAATCGACCCACATCCCTGTGTTAGCCAATGACGCCTTTGGGGCCAAGGTTGGGGGGTATTCAGTTTAGCCTTTTTGTTTTTCTGTGATATCTCCGGCACTGTGAAAGATATTGGCTCCTTCAGATGAGTGCCTACTCCAGTCACTACTTATATCCAGTAGCCAGTAGCCACTCAGATGATTTGGGATCAATCAGGTGATAAGCGTACTTTCAGACGACCAGGGGCCCCCAGTCGACCAGGGGTTCCCAGGCGACCAGGTCCTCCAGATGACTAGGGGCCCCACTGCCCCAGGCGACCAGGGCCCTCCAGGCGACCAAGGGCCAATGCGATCAGGGGGCCCCCATGCGACCAGGGGGCCCCATGCGACCAGGACCCCGGCTACCAGGGGCCCCCAGGCGACCAGGGGCCCTCTAGGTGACCAGCGGCCCTCAGGCGATCAGGGGCCCCCAGGCGACCAGGGGATCCCAGGCTACCAGGGGCCCAAGGCGACCAGGGTCCCCCAGGCGACTAGGGGCGACCGGGGGCCCCAGGCAACCAGGGGCCCCATGCGACCAGGCCCCCGGCTACCAGGGGCCCCCTGGGCGACTAGGTACCCCCAGGCGATCAGGGGCCTCAATATCATGCAACCAGAGGCCCCCCATGCGACTAGGGCCCCCTAGGCGACTAGGGGCCACAGACTATCAGTGGCCCATACGACCAGGCCCCCGGCTATCAGGGCCCCCTCGGCAACTAGGGGCCCCCAGTCGATCAGGGGCCTCATGCGACCAGAGGCCCCCATGCGACCAGGGCCCCCTAGGCGACTAGGGGCCACAGGCTATCAGGGGCCCCCATGAGACCAGGCCCCCGGCTACCAGAGGCCCCCTAGGTGACCAGGGGCCCAGGAAACTGGGGGCCCTTGGATGACTGCAGGGGCCCCTCGGGTACCCAGGGCACATAAATGAAACTTTAATATCAATTTTTCTTCCGAGTAAAAGACGTTTTATCCAGTGTTAAAAAAATATCCTGGGGCCTGAGGGGCCCCCTGAGCGCCTTCGGCGCTCAGGGGGGGGGGGCCTTGGCCCCCGTGGCCCCCCCTTGGGTACGTCACTGGCTTAAATCAATTCCTCAGGGTTAAATGATTTAAGCTGTACCTGTGCAAAGTTTTTAGCATGGTCTGTGGGGAAATCTCTCCTTAACCCGCGCCGGGCTGGGGGGGGGGGGGTGTTTGAACAATGAACACCCCCCCCGCGGGTTTTCGCAGATACCTGGTCGCTCTAGGTCAGGTCACCAGGTCACGTCAAGTGACCTCACCTCAGAAAAAATTAGAATGCTCGTCATAGTTACACCGGGTGAACGATTGTCACGAAACTTTCAGCGATTGATAAGAGTAAAAGTATCTATAAAATGTATATCTCGGAATTTCGATATCGGTGACCTAAGGTTAGGTCATTTTTGCGGCCTCTCCATTGTAGGTAAGTCAATGGGAGAAAATTGAAAAGCGTCTCTTTTGCACGAACGCCGTTCAAGACAATCTCAAACATCGGGATGCAAGTACAATTGACACCCTGAACCGGAAAATGGCGCCTGTGACCCTTCGTTATGTCCCCGAGGTCATCTCAGGCCACGAATAGTTAACAGTTTTTCGCTAATAACTTCTGATAGAGGCATGCTAGAGCGATGAAAACGCCCTAGATGTGTCCGGTCGACGATGCGGATCGACTGATATGCAACATGGCCTTTTCCGGTCGGGTCATGACCTTGACCTGAGGTCAAATTTTCAAGTGGACCTTCAGGCCAATTATAGTTCATTCAAAGCGTCTCGACGAGAGGAACACGATGCTGGCAAAAGAAATGTCGTGGCTCTTTTGAGTCAGAAGCTGTTGCCGAAAAAACACTTCTCGTAAAACGGCTATTTTTGGAGTTTTTACCCTCTGGAGGCTAATCCGTGGACCTGAGGTCAAATCTGCGGACGTGTTAGCGAAAGAACGCCAAAAGAGCTATCGAATGCGTTTTTTCGCGGCGCTGTAGCTCTATTGGTTCCTGAGTTAGCCATTGGCAGTTTCCAAAATGTTGAAATAGCCAACATTTAACCTTTGGTGACCTCTGGTGACCTGACCTTTGACCTGACCCAAAAAATGACCGAAGTGTTTTCGTCCTGATTTTGGCCGTTCTTTCGATTGCCGCTTACCGCGTGTCGCTACGTGGCCCAGGAGCCGAGTTAGAAGGGGGGGGGGGGTCTTCAGACCCCCCCCCCTTCATCCCCCTATCATCCTCAATTTAGTTTTTGCTATGGATTTATAATTTTTTTGCTTAAAATGATAAGAAAATAAAACAAAGCCTTTTATACTTCATAAAAGGATTATTTTCTATATTTTAAGGTAGGAAGAACTATGTTTTATATAAAATAATGTTTGACGCGGAAGCTTATCACACGTTAACCAATCATAGTGCGTAGTTCCTGTTCAAACCTACCTACCGATGCTGCGTTGGCTGTGAGCAGCATGCTGATTGGGTGACGGTGACGTGGCTGCATTTCTCAGCAAGGCACTCATTCCTCTGCAAGGCACTCTTTACGGAACCAGAAATTGAAGATCTTCGTCTAAGGGTGATCGTTGGGTCGTAATAGCTCCTGATTTGTGCTAATCTCAGCTCAAGCTAGAGACCTGCTATTCCAGTTCATAACCCCATGTTAATTAAAAGTGAACTATTTCCTTCAAGTTCTGTGCCACCTCTCTACGATAAAGGAAGACTAAAAAATGTCGACGCTTTTTCAAATCCCTTATCAAATCCCTTCTCTCGTGAACTTCCGATACGCTGGATAGAAGTTTTCAAAAAAGGGAAAGTCTTTCATTTTTCTAGTTTGTCTAACCTGGCACTGCAAATGGCAGAACAAGGCTACGAAAATATATCTTTATCAGGATCGGATGACTGCATTGTTTAAAAGGGATATTTCGTGTTTGACTCGTATCTTTCCCAGCTGGGGGTGAGGTGCTCTGCCACTATGCAGCCAGCGCTGACCGGGGCGGCCATCTCTCACGCTCAGGTCCTGATGGCCGTTGGCATCTGCACCGTGGTCTGCCTGGCGCTCACCATGTTCGCCTTCCAGACCAAGTACGACTTCACCATGCTGAACGGCATCCTCTTCGTCTGCCTCATCGTCCTCATGGTGTTCGGACTCTTCGCCATGATCTTCCCCGGAAAGGTAGCCGAGCTCAATCGGATCGCGTCGGCGCGTTGAGGGAAGGAGCTCGTGGCGGGGCCTATCTCTGCCGTCCTCCTGTGTCCGGATTGCACCGACTCAATCCAGAGACGCTAAATCGTTCTGTTTTCGCTGTCTGAATTCTGTCATCGCTAATGACTTTTTCGATTAACTCCTTATTACGAGCGAGCGAGCACAGCGAGCGAGCGAGCGAGCACAGCGAGCGAAGCGAAGTCTTTTCAATATAACGGAAAAATCTCAGTATGAGCGGCCCTGCCCGGCCCGGCCTGTAACGCTTTTGAGAGGCTTATATCTCAGCAACCACTGGACCGATTGGCCTGCGGTCTTTTTTGCTGGGTAGCCCCATCCCTTCTACCCCGTAATTGGCTACTTTTGATACATCTTAGTGACCGTCGTGGCACGTGCCACGTGAAAAGTCAAGGGTGTTCAAGCAGTTTTGCAAAAGTAGTGATTTTGAGAGGCCCATATCTCAGCAGCGGCTTGGGCTGTCTTGCGGTCATTTTTGTAGGGTAGCTGCATCCCTTCTACCAAAGGTCGGATACTATTGATCTGTGTGAGTGACCCGCACTGCACGTGCAAAATGCAAAAAGAAGAGGTGCCAAATTTGTTCCCATTTCAGTAACTCGGTAATTACTGGGGCGATTTCGCTGAAACTTGGCATACAGGTAGGCACCCACCAGACAATGCATTCCCATGTGTTGTGGTTAGGGTGCTACTGCACGTGCGCGCGTGCAGGGGGCGTTTCCAGATCTCGAGAATGGCTGGGTCGATTGCGCTCAAATTTGGTACTCGGTTGGGGACCGGTTAGTAGGGTGCCGTGCATAAGTCAGTTTGGACCCTGTTTGCACGTGCGCACGTGCAGAATGCCGCTTCCAGATCTCAGAAACGGCTGGGCCGATTGCGTTCAAATTTGGCACACCGCTAGCGACCGGTTACAAGGGTGCTTTGCACAAGCCCGTTGGAAGTACCCTCTCGCCCTTCCGCACGTGCAGGGCTCACTATCTCGCTCGCTCGTTCTTCGCCCAAAAGGCGTTTTACTGGTTCTTATCTCTGCCGTTAAAAATGCACATTGGTTGCAGGCGTTAACTAATTTTCGGACCTGCGATAACGATAAAACGATAAGAAAGGCTTGCGATAACGATAAACGATAAACGATAGAAATTTTTCAAAAAATTAACACCGATATCGATAAAACGATAACGATAATTGTTTTTTAACAGCGATAACAAAAGACCCTACCCTACCCTACCACCGACAGTCCAAGTTTCAGCTAAATCGGCCCAGAAACGGCTGAGATATTGCAAAAACAAATTTATTTTATTTATTGGTGAATCCCCTTGGCGAGCGTTGCCCGGCGTCGGTGTTCGTTGTCAAAGTTCAATGACCTCCCGGCTCTAATTATTTCCACTCAGTTTTATAAGCGAACAACTGAGCCTAAAGCACGTGCCTTCAACTCGGCGCCGGTTGCGGCCCCACTACGTGCACACCGCTGAACCCACACCCTCGAAAACTTGGTACGACAAATGAGTGCACGCGTCCCATTTGTCGCGAAAATTTCAGCCCCGTAACCTCTACCGTTTCCGAGCAATGTCAGGCAATGACCAATGTCAGCAGTGTCAACAATGACCATGTCAGGCCGGAATCGCGATTCGACGTATGCCACAGTTTCTATGCCTTTTCAGACTTTGTTGTGTCTTATAAACGTGCCAACATGTGAAATAATGGTAGTCCCATGCTTTATAATTGGTGCCAAAGGGCACTCAAAGGTCAGGTCAAGGGCATTGACCTTAGATTACTTTGGGCCACTTTTTGGATATGATGTCAATTTTGTCGAATCTAGAGCCCATTTGAACATTTGAGAAGTAATTTTGGTGCCAATGCAACATGCTACGAACTATGAAGCTGTCACTGGTGGTTAGCACCTACTTTGGCTAGCTGGCGTAACGCTTACTGGTTGACCTGGCCAGACCTGACTCAACCTATGCCAAATGCTAAAAATGCTAAAAAAAGGACTCAGATTCAACGCATTTTTTTTTTTTTAGGTAGCATTGAGGCTGGAGGTTTGTAGTTTCGATTTTTTAATCGTCTAGTAGGGCAATGTGAGGGGCAACAAACTAATATAAAAACGGGAAGTGCATACACTCAATGAAGTTTCCAAGTTCCAAAAGCTGATTGGATTTGTATTCCTTACGCCGACGCGTTGCTGTGCACTTTAAAGCAAACTTTTCGTAATGAAAGTTAAGTTTTCGTCTTATTCCTGAAAGAAAAACGTACTTTCTGTCTATTCCTGGCGCTGCCTGGGTATTTGTCCCAAAAGCGCCCTCCTCCTGGGCCCAATCTTACCAAATGCCGTGAATGCGCATTCACGGCATTTGGTAACTTTCAGAACTATTCCACACTCACTAATTCATTCGTTCAGGCAGCATTCATAATCATTCACGCTATCAAAATCATTAGCCAAGATTAGCTGGATGTAAATAAAAAGGATGTCTTTGCTATCAGTGCCGTAAACTCCGGCCAGTGCTGCCAAATCCTATTCACGGCATTGGTAAGATTGGGCCCTGGATCCGCCAGTAGGGTCAGGTGGCCTACCATTTCTTTTTTTAAGAAAAAAAACTATCGTATCAGGGCTATGACGAAAAATAAGTGGCCTAAATCCGATGAGAAAACAGAATTTGGGGTACCCTAGGTTTGGCTCCGGGACCTGGTATGCCCCCCCGCGCTGAACCCCTGGATCCGCCAGTGAAAATAAGATTAACATCTCCAATTCAATGTGCGCTGACCAGCTTTCTCAGTAATCCAGGCAGTAATTCTCGTGCTATGTTCAAAAAGATGTTTACAGTGAGGGTCAAACTTAACATAAACGAACTATGGTAACGAAATTCAAAAATTAACTCTTTGTAATGTTGACACGCCCTCTGCCACTTTGATTTAAAATGCTTGTTAAACGTGTGGGTGTTAGCTTTATCGCTTTCTCTACGTGACTGCTGTCTTCTTATTCACCCGACTCTCGGGCCCATTGCTGGTGATAGAGGGACTTGCTGCTCCGGCTCGCTGAGGCGCTGACACGTGGTGGCCGTTCTTCAGGTGATCAGTCTGGTATACGCGTCGCTGGGGGCGCTGCTGTTCTCCGTGTACCTCGTGGTAGACACGCAGATGATGATGGGCGGCAAGCACAAGTACACCATCTCGCCCGAGGAGTACATCTTCGCCGCCCTCAACCTCTATCTGGACATCATCAACCTGTTCCTGTACATTCTGCAGATTGTGGCGGCGGCCAATCGAAACTGAGCAGAGACGCGACGTGGTCCGTCGGCGCCGCCCCGGCTAGCGGGCGGGTGACCGGCGCCGCGGTCCAGCCGGGGCTGCCGGCACCCGATCAGGGTCGCTCTGAGTTTTCCAGTGTCCGCGGCAGCAGGAGGCCCGGTCTGCAGACATGTACCTATAGATGTGATATGGGCTCGTTTGGCTGGGGTGTTACGCTGTTTTGAAAGAACCACGTCTTGCTTTGTGTGTAGCGTTTCCTGAGAGGTGTTATCATTAAACTGGGTACTGTCTTTTTCGGTCAATAAGTGTGTTGTCCATTGCCCTAGCGTGTTCTCTCGACTTTGAATCGGTTAAGTGGTCCAAATTCCGGGCTTCATTTTTGGGTGTAGATCACAAGTTTTGCTTGGTTTCAACTGTATATTGTTATCATTCTATTCGGGTAGTTCCTCGGCTTATCACATCTCTAAACGTACGATAACTAATGCACTTGTATATCAGAAACAGTGAATTAACAGCGGTGATACACTTCCATTGTGTTGAGTCTGGCGTCAGCCTCTTAAGTTTATTTCTCTATGTTTATGTTATCAAAGTTATCCCTCCATGCGGCAATGTGAACAGCGTGATGTCTCAATGTTTGCCGATGCTGGCGCTAGCAAACTTATCGTAGGTATATTGTATAGTTCGGCGCCAGTGGTTCCGATAATTGCACTGGCCCGCCGACGCGCGCAGCTGTTGTCTGCTACCAACGGCTCGTGCTGAGCTACCACGCTTCTTTCGTTTGCTGCTTGCTGTTCGCGTCTGTCTGGTGTCCGTCAATGTTTTCTGTATAAAATTATCTTGCGTAATATCTATCGCTGCGTACATTGGCGGATTAGGCTAATTCCGGCGCCAAGCTTAGGACAACAATTGTGTCTTGTAGCGAGAAACATTTGTGATTCAATGGGGCTGTTCTGCGGTGAAATGTTAAACCTGTTTAGTCATTTGTTATTTGCAGATCCGTGAATAAACGTTCAGCGAACATTTATCAACCGTTTTTCACCGACCTCCTAGTTGACCGGATAAATGACATGATAAGGGTGGTGTTTCACCGGTGAGCGCAGAACGCTGCTATTCCACGTGTCAAATTGGGTTTCCATGGAGATGTCAACAAGACCAGTATGACGTCATCAGATGTAAAATATATCGCTGGCAACCATCTCCCAACGTCCTCTTTTTTTTTTAGTGGCCTAAGCTTACGTTATTGGCCTCGCGAGGGGGGTGTTCGAAATTTGTAACGCTTACTTGTTGCTATGGCGACAGGGCAGTACAATCGCTTTTAATTCGACAACAAGTGCTTGCGGAGCTACCACTCACCCTTTTGAACACAATCTTTACGCGTTGGTTTGTGTGACGCGTCATATCTGAAACAAAACATGTTTTGGAGGCGCCGGAGCAGGGTTACCGCTGCTAGGGAAATTTCCCTTTTCTATGGAAATCAGCGAAGATCTAGGGATATATGGATTTCACACGAAATCTAGGGAAATACCACCAAACCGAAAAATTGTTGTTTTTGCCTGCTTCTGCGTTGTTCCATTTCGGGTGCGGCTAATTTTTTACATCAAAGTTTTTGTTTTGGCGCAATTTTTACAATGGCTAGCGCATGTCACTCCCATTCGGTCAAACTGACGGTGCAAAATAATGCATCGACTCGTCTCTTACGCCAGCACTACCGCTATACCTACCCATACGGCAGTTTCCCGCGTCCTGCAACACACCACAATTTGCGATATATCACGCAATTATATTATACCACATACAGTAATTTGCTATATGCCAGCAATTTCATCAGAATCTCTTACGTTAACGTAACAGAATGTAGTTAATTGCTGTTTTAGGACGCAGCGACTATAACCAGAAGCGGCGGAACGGGGAAGGCACTGGGGCACCGTGCCCCCCTTTGATTTGGGCATTTCAACATTAGCCCTATGGACGTTGCATTGAAAGATGGGACCAAAAGTCGTCAGTGCCCCCCCCCCCCCTTAATTGAAGGTGTTCCGCCGCTACTGACTGTAACACGAATGGTTAAAATGAGGAAAGTACATCAAATTCCATGAAAATAACCGCATCTAGGGAAATGATTTTGAAAAAAGGGAAATTTTCGTGAGAATCTGGGGAAACCAGCGAGACGCCAGCGGTAACGCTGCGCCGGAGGCTTCGCCGCTTCAAAACCGCCAAAACCATTCAATTCGTCTCCTCCAAAGAAAGTGTTTTGTAACATTTTCGATGTTTTTTTTTTGGCTCAATTGCTACCTACCTCCATTCATCCTAACTTGCATGATGATAGTCATCATTCGGGGACCAGTAGCTGAAAGCAAGAAATAACGACGGGGAGAAGGTGCTTTAAAAAGTCGCAGTGGTTGCAGCAGCATTTACATTGAGCATTACAATTAAATGACAAAATATCGCTTAATGTCAAGATAAAGACCTAAGAAGATTTCAAGGATAATTCTTAACAATATTACATTATTTGCCATCCTGAATCAAAAAACGATACATGTCTCGCAAATAAAAGGAAAAACAGCAGTGGTGGAACACCTTCAATTAGGGGGGGGGGGGGGGGCGCTGCCGACTTGGTCCCATTCCTTCCATGCAATGCCCATAGGGCTAATGTTCAAATGCCGAAATCCAAGGGGGCACGGTGCCCTGGTGCCCTCCCTGTTCTGCCGCCTATGGTCAGTTGGGGAAACTATGAGGCGAATGTCAAAAAATGGATTGGTCAATAAATGGACTTTTGATGACCATATATGGGCATAAATGCAGCCCCCGCTACTAAGGGTGAAAAACGGTATAACAAGCCGGTAGGTACTTGCAGTATCGCGTCCACTATTGGAGAGGAAAGGCTTCCATTTTTCACTAGGAATTAGCGTGATGTGATTAAATTTGGCGAATTGACTTGAAAATGGCGATAGTTAAACGGCTTTTCTGCAGGTTCTGGGCGTCACAATCAGCTGGCCATTCAATAAGTGGATTGGTTTGATGAAAGAAAATTGTTAAAAGATTTAACATAGGTAATTACAATAAACAAAAATATTTAATTCTAAAATAATAACTTAACCACAATTAGAAAAACCATCAACAAAATAATAAAAATAATGACATTTTTAAATTACGGTACTGCTTACATTTTTTGGCGCGTCTGTTTCAATCCACCATATTTGCCAATCACGGTTTGACCTTGCGTTGTAACTCTGCGATTTAGAGCCGCCAGTTAATTATGCACCGGGTGAGTGTAGGCATTGTGTGGTTAAAAAACATTCTTATGCCTTATTTTTCATTTGAATGCTAAAATTCATTGAAAAGATGAAGTTGTCTGATTTTATGACCATATATAGTCATCGCCTCCCCCACTCCAGCCTCTGATTGGCTAATCCAATTTTTGTTTGGCTCCTCGTATTTTCCCCAACTGTGGTACTGGATGTCCAAGATTTCCTTGACGATCACACAGTGTAGCTCGGCCTTTTGGTTGCATGATGCATTTTGAGCCGTTTTGAGGTCTAATGGGAGCTGTGATAGGTAGAACACTTTGACGTGTTAGATAGGCGTAAGGCTAGGTCAGGTAACTTAAAGTGACTATCCCTTAGATTTGAGTTGAGATAGCCAAACTGGGGTCCCTGGCTGATGGCTCACAATCACCGGTTTCGGCACTCACAACATCGAGCAATGCCTTATAGTGACCATCCCACCTTAACATTAGTTTTGAGTTGAGATAGCCAAAATGGCATTTGGTCCCTGGCTTGCACTTACCGGTTTGAGCACTCACAAGATCAAGAAATGCAATTTCAAAGTTGCAGCACTTTGATTCAGAGGGGCTAATGCATTAGAATGCTCTCTCTGGATGTGGGACCTCAGCACAGATCTAACAATTTTAAATCTTTTACTAAAACGTTTGGTAGCACGCTGTGGTATATGCTGCTTTGCGTGCAACAAGTGCCGCACTTTCAAATAAAATTGCTAGGAACGGCGGATATCCCCAAAATAAACAAAAGTGAGTCTAATATTTTTCGATGAAATTTGCTAGATATTCTAGCGAAAACACTTTCATGCAAATTCATTAACTTTTTTGAAGGTGGAAGAGTCCCTTTAAGTCAAAAATGTTTAATTTCAAAGTTGCAGCACTTGGACTCAGAGGAGAAAATGCATTTCAGTGCCCCCTTTGAATTGTGATGTCAGCGCAGGTCTAGCAATTTTAAAATCCTATACTAAAACCTTTGTAAAGCTGTGGTGGTATATGCTGCTTTGCATGCTGCCAGAGTTAGCCCACATGGGCTACATCTTGGGCTCATGTGTAACCCACATATCTGGGCTGTCCCACATCACATGGGACCCAGTTGGAGCTGTGCAACAAAGCTCACTGGGACCCACTGGCCACTACATGGGCTGCCTATATCAGACCCATATGGGACCCACTTGGCTGGTCTAGCTTGGATCTAACTGCCAGGTGGATTCAATTGGAGGCACTTTGTAGTTTGTACTGGGACATTTTTTAACAATTATAATTTTTGTACCTATGCAAGTCCTGCTCACAACATATATTTGTTCTGCTTGTAGGCTTCTGTCTGTTTTGAAATTGGCTTAGTTTTTTTTTTGTCACTGGCATGACCTTCCTTGTTTGTCTTTTCTCAGATTTTAATGATGAGTACATCGGATTCTGCCCTGGGACTGAGGAGCAGCAGAGCTTTATTTCTGCTGTTCTTGTGGTATTTGTTCAGTGCATTCACACTTTTTACAAATAAGTATGTAGTATCATACCTGAAAGTTGATTCAATGTTACTAGGTGAGTATCTTCCATTGCACATTCGATAGGTGAACTGATAATTGAATGCTTACCCATTAAACCGCGCCTCAGTGGCAGTCTCAGCCAACTTCGCTATAGTGGCATATGCCATATGGGGCATATGTTACCACCCACTTCTAACTCAAAAACTAAGAGGACTAGAAAGACGCGGTAAAAAGCAGTCGATAGCGTTCAATGCATATGTTTGAAAGTATTTCAGTCATTTTCATCTTAGAGCAAAATTGGGGTCACCAGAGGTCAGCAAAGGTCAAAATTTGCCAAATGTCATATTTTTCAGAAAACATGACATTATCCCAGGAATTATAATAGCTGGAAAAATGCATGGAAGAGCAATCGATAGCTTTTGAGCTCTTCTTTTGGTAAGGTTATCATCAAAATTGACGTCAGGTCAACGGTTTACCCGCGCCGGGCCGGTGCTCTGAGATTCCGCGCCGGGCCGGGGGGGGGGGTGTCTGAACCCCCCTTTCTAACTCGGCTCCTGGGCCACGTAGCGACACGCGGTAAGCGGCAATCGAAAGAACGTCCAAAATAAGGACGAAAACACTTCGGTCGTTTTTGGGTCAGGTCAAAGGTCAGGTCACCAGAGGTCACCAAAGGTCAAATGTTCACTATTTCAACATTTTGGAAACTGCCAACGGCTATCTCGGGAACCGATAGAGCTACAGCGCCGCGGAAAAGCGCATTGGATAGCCCTTTTACAGACCTTTCTGAGTAATGTTCTCAGATTTAACCTCAGGTCAACGGTTTAGCCTCCAGAGGGCAAAAACTAAAAAAATAGCCGTTTTTACGAAAAACGTTTTATCGGCAATAACTTTTGACTCAGAAGAGCGATGACATTACTTTTGCCACCATCGTGTTCCTCTCGTCGATACGCGTCCAATGAACTATAATTTGACCTTGAAAGGTCAACTTGAAAATTTGACCTCAGGTCAAGGTCATGACTTGACCGGAAAAGGTCATTTTGCATATTAGTCGATCCGCAACGTCGAGCCGAACACATCTAAGGCGTTTTCAGCGCTCTAGCACGTCTATCAGAAGTTATTAGCGAAAAACTGTTAGATTTTGTTCGTGACCTGAGATGACCTCGGGGACATAACGAGGGGTCACAGTTGCCATTTTCCGGTTCAGTGTGTCCATTTTACCTACCTACATCTCGATGTTTGAGAGTGTCTAGAATAGCCTTCGTGCAAAACAGACGCTTTTTAATTTTCTCCCATTGACTTATAGGTAATGGAGAGGTCGCAAAATCGCCGTTTTTGAGATATCTGCGAAAAACCGCATGGGGGGGATGTTCAAACACCCCCCCGGCCCGGCGCGGGTTAAGCCAAGCTACTCCTTCCCTCTTCATTTTCCCTAAAGAACAGGTAACTTACATTATCTTTGCCGGTCCCGTAGCTCAGTTGGTAGAGCGTTGGACTCCGCGTGGTGAGAGCACGCATTCCCAGTTATAACAGTCCGGGTTCGAAGCGCGACGGGCACTTGACATTTATGGGCCTCCTGACAGGTATGGTTGCGGTTGGTGGCAGGCCGTAGCCAGGCGAAGTCAGTGAGGGGACCGGGCGTGCGCGGCTATGTGCGCACGTTAAACTTTGGACTCTAAATTCTGCCATAGAACTGGAATTGCGCAATCGGAGGGTAGAGGGCAGGGTCACCGCAACAAGCTTCGCTTAGCGGTGGTTCTGTCCTTGTGAATCATTCCTATCATAAGGTTCAGACGAAATTTATAAAAAAGCCTCCATAGGTAAAACATTTTGAAAATAGCTGTTTTTGGATAAAACTTTTTCACGAATAACTTTTGAACTTGTAAAGATGAAGATTTGACAATGGCACTATCGTGTATCTCTCCTTTAGACGCTTCGAAAAATATATTTCTTACCTGGAAAGGTTAAGGTCAAATTTTGACCTCAGGTCAAAGTCACGTGGTAACCCAAATAGGTCATGTTGCATATCATTCGATGCGTCTCGAAAAGGCAAACACAATAAAGCCATCACCAGCATTCTATCTCTTTCCAATCGAGAGTTGTTGTCAAAAATATGTTTCTAGCCTCAAATGACCTCGGATGACCTTTCTAGAGGCTATCAGCAAAAAAGACACCTTGGTCGTCACGGGTGGTCCAAATCATAATGATTCTGAAATATTTGGACTGTTCCAATGTTGTTCTATATACCCTGGTTCCAATGCGTTCACACTAGACGTCAATCAGATACCAACTTTTTGGTATACCGATACCAAACCGATACCAACTTGGTACTTGGTATTTCAAGGTTGATGCATTTGGTGTTTTGTTGGTATCATGAACCCTCACTAATGTCAAAGAGGCTGAGGATTTGGTAAAAAGTTGGTATTTCCCTCATATTCCCCAATCGGTTCGGTTTCGGTGTTTTTTTCCATGGCTATTGTTCGTATTTGGTTGGGTATCGGTATCACGATTTTCCGTAATTGACATCACTAGACTTCACACCGATCTAGAGGCATTTTCATTTTCCTTTATTGACTTATATTGGAGAGGTCACGCCACTGGCCTGACCTTGGGTCACGGATATAAAAAAAAATCCGAGATATACAAACTATAGGTGCCCATAACATAATGCAATCCACCAAGTTTTCTCTGACAAACACTGCAGGCTGGAAATGATTGCAAACTTTTTTAGGCTTGGTCAGTTAACTTGTCCTGGTGACCTGACCTGACATAACCTGAGGTCAAAAATTTCACACATTGTCCAAAATTGATATACAGTAAGCTACTCCAAGCGGCGCGGCGCTACGCGCCGCCTTTTTTATTCACACGCAAAAAAAAACGAGACAGGGTGGTAACATATGCCCCCCCCCCACTGGGCGAAGGTTAAAGGTAGTGTGCCACCTTTGAAAGATTTCCCATTTTATTTTTCCTAGGATAAGAAGCTTCTGTTTTTACCTAGTATCGCAAAAAAAAAATCAAAAATGGGCCTGGAATAGTGCCTTTTTCGCCTAAAAGTTTTTCGGTTTTTAGATATGTATAACAACTGTAGTGGGCTCACCTGCAAACAGGCGTCGGGCAACAATCGCGAATGCGGCGCACTTGTGACAATAAGCAAAGGTCATTATTAGAGTTCAGTGGTCATTATACACCATTTTGCCTTCAGTTTGAAAAAGTTAAAGTTCAATTTGAAAAAGATGTATTTCAATCGGCCCCCGGTCAACAGACATGGTAGCCCAAATCTAGTCGGATATGAACATTCTTCTAAATCCATAGACTTTAATGTTAAATTGACTATATTTGAGAGGGTTTTATGAAGATACATGACCAGATACAGAAAAAAGCGAGATGCTATCTTGTAGATTAAATCGTCGACTATCTGCGACTTTTGAAGTGTTTTTCAATCTGAGGTACGGAAATCGTGTTCCCAAGAGACTGAAAGTAGCCATGCTTTACATTAGACCCAATGGCAAAAATTCGGAATCTGACGAAATTGGCCATTTTTACGTCTGATTTATGAAAATTATAGACAGGATATGTAAAAACCCGAGATGCTATCAGGTGGGAAATTTCATTGTCTATTTCCGCTTTTTGAAGTGTTTATCGATCTGAGACCGGCAAATCGTGTTCCCAAGAGACTGAAAGTAACCCTGTTCTACAGCAAGACAATGGCAGATTTCTAATATTTGATGGAAGATATCTTAGGTGATAATAACCTTACTACTAATTGCAATGCTTCATTGGAAAGCTCAACACTGGCACTATCATCGGTCTTTGTATTGCTATTTCACAGAACAACAAGAAATAACGTTTTGAAGCCTCTGAATATTGACTTACTTTTCATCGACGGGCTCGATCCCCATTACCACCAGCAATTTTCCGGGAAGTCAGGATTTTGCAGATATTTAAGCAGAATTGCAGAGTTGTGTTAATACTACGGCACTTAAATACACATTTTAAGAAAACCGCTTTTTTCTTAGCATGAGTTAGGTCTCAGAAACAGCAATATGTGGATATAATGAGGAAAAATAAATGCAAATGATCGCGCAAGAGAGTATCCTTAGCTCCCTAGCAACCACCTAGCAACGTAAGGCAAAATAGTAAACAACTTCTGTTGATATCAGATACTCAGCCTTGGAAGCACACTAGAAGTTCACCATACTGGGCTTCATACTGAATTTTGCATACCAGAATGGGTGTTTCCAACTAAAATTATTTTTTTGCTAAATTTATCTTTGTTGCCCTACTATTTTTCGTAAAACCGAGATATACAAACTTCATGATATCAAAAATAATATTGTGATAATGAAGAGCGCCATATAAAACAAGATAATTGCTGAGATCATGCCTACTAAACTTGGTCCTACCCCCTAATTCAATATACCCTGTATTTCAATTTGAAAAAAATGCAATGCAAATCGAATGGCACGTGTTTCAAATTGAAGTGTACCTTTTTCAAATTGAGCTTCAGCTTTTTCAAACTGAAAGCAAAAAGGTGGTGTTACGACCAGGGGTGGATTTTTTTGTTTTTTATTGGGGTTGCACAGACCTGAAAGGGCGCCCAAAGCGGTTCCGAGGGGCGCAATAGTCCGGAAGTGGGCGCCACCAGGTACGGTCGTAAACTTGGCGTTGGGGGGGGGGGGGAATTGGCAAAGGGGCCCCTGTAGAGCCTCGCTGGGGGGCGGTGTGTTAGCTTAACCCGCGTACCGCGGAGGGGGGCGAATATCCGCCGCCTCCCCCTGAAGTTTTTGGTAAGTAGCGGAAAACTTCTGAAACCAATATTAGACCCTTATATAAGCCCGACGTAAGATCATTTAAGGCCAGTATTGAGATTGACCCTCATAAACCGGGTGAGACCTCGCACAGCAGTATGGGTCTTTGAACTCCAACGTGGGTCTTACGAGACCTGCCTGAGCCACCAGAGGCCAGTGCGGGCCCGGGGTCATCAAAGGCCAGTGCGGGGTCGTCAAAGGTCAGTTCGGAACCTCTGAGGTGGTGTGAGCCCTTGAGGCCAGCGTTGGT